AGGTTGAAGATGGGGATGGGATTATAGCAGGTATCAGCTCAGAGCTCTTTCTTATATGCAGAGGTGTTGGACATGTTAATAGATCAGGTAGGAGTCTCTGCAGACTTTAATGTTTGCAGATGGCATTGACATGACCTGTAGTGAGAGTAGGGGGAGCCTGGACAAGTGGAGGTATGCACTGGATAAAAGAGGAATGCGCGTGTGGGAGGGAAGCAGGGGAAATGGTGAAAAAAGGAGTAGAGGTAGTGAAAGTGGATGAGTTTAAATACCTAGCTTCAACTGTTCAAAGCAATTGACAGCACACAAGAGGGGTGAAGAAGAGAGTGCAGACAGGTTGGAGTGGGTGGAGATGAGTGTCGAGGTTGATTTGCGGCAGACGGATAGCAGAAAGGGTGAGAGAGAATTTGGAAGTGGTACTGACAAAAAGACAGAAGCTTGAGTGGAGGTGGCAGAGTTAAAGATGCTAAGATTTGTAGTGGGAGTCACCAGGAGGGACAGGGTTGGAAGCGAGCACGTTAAATCTATACATCTCTAATCTATATGCTCTACTTAGAGTTTCTTTTTACTCAAATTCTAAGTTGCTGAAGGCTGTTGTGCCCTAAGCATGCTGAAAGTTGAGCATGAACATGAAGCTTAGATATCCTAAAATTGTCACAGGAGAGATAAAAGCTTCTTTTTTTTAACCCTAAAAGATGCCTCTTCAAACTTGATTTCTTTATCTTGCAGTATAATGCAGTCAGCTATTCTTAGTCTTACCTCAGAAAAAACAAACTATAGCCTGGGGAGTGCTGGTCTGGGTGTTGTGGGGTAAGTTGCTTTTCCTGAAGTGACACTTCACACCTTACATTACCTGTTATGTTTCCACTTTCTCTTTTTTTCTCTCTCTGCTCTCCTTTGTTCCTCCCTCCTCATCTCTCCACCTTCTCCTCTATTGTGCTGTTTAACTTTTTATTGTGCTGCCCGTTTGCCTGCAGCCAGGGTCTCTCCACTCCACACCTGACAAAGCCTTCATCTGTATTCCTTCTGATGGAACTGCGGCAGTGATGAAACCAACCCCCACGCAAAATGCAAAAGGGGTGGGGGGGGGAAGAAAGCAGCCTAAGCAGCAACAAAAAGCAGATCATACCATGTCTTGACTTAAAAAAAAAACTCTCAGTGGGAGATATAAAGATACACTCTTTCTGTGTGTGTGTGTGTGTGTGTGTGTGGATACGTGTGTGTGCGTGTGCGCTTGTGAGGCTGCACATTGCACTTTGTGCTGAGTTGGCAGATTAGGCTTCAGGATGGAGAATTCAAATTATGAATACAGCATGTGTGACTGTGCGAGTGAGAGAGGGCGCAAAGGCAGGATTTAAGAATGAGTGACAACATCAGAGGGCTGAGAAAACTCTAAAGCAGCGCTCGATACCTTCTCCACCGGATCCGTTGCTCGGAAGTCACGTCCAACACGTCTGATTTCTTTTACTTTTAATCTCAAGCCTCTCTTAGCGTGCCGCAACATTGCTGCATGACATCTCTTTTCCACGGCTTGATTTGTATTTGTTGACAGCAATAAGAAAATGACACACTGGTGGGGGCTCACGGGACAAAATGTGCTGCACTTTGCAGTACAGTCATTTGTATTTTGGAACCAAAATTGGGCAAAAAACTGCACTGCGTAAAGTGATGATCTTGATAAAAAGTGATGAACAGCTAAAAGGGATTTAATTCTTTCCTCTTTTTTTTTTTTAGCTGGCCTCCGTGAAATTAAATTCCAGGGTCTTGATTAAAGTTGGTTGGTTGTTATTATTCGAGGAATTATATTCCTCTATTTCACCCCGTTTTGCTGTGAGCCTTGATAAAACTGCATTTTGCTTGGAAACATACACAGTATCTTCAGATTGCACGCTTCAAGGCAATACTCCCTGAAGCGCTCTGCCCATTTCATCAAAAAGACATTCCCTAGGACTCCAGGGAGTAAAGCCCTATTTGCACAAGATTAGTATTCCTGTGTTGTTTAATGTGATTAAACTCTTACATCTGTGTTTGTTGTGCAGCTCTGGAAAATTGAACTTTGTGTTTTATTAATGGTTGAGTTTCCTAAATGATAGCAAAAGGTTCCTTACCTACAAAGGAATAACGTATCCAACCTACACTGAATAAAAATTCTTCACTTTTAATAAGCATGAAGCAATAATTTTGAGATTTTTGAAAGCAATTCATTATTAAGGAACATATGCTTGGTCTAAATTGAGTACAAATCAAGTACATTTCATTTGACCAGATTTCAATACATCGAACATTTTTATGTAACAAAATAGCATGGAATATGTAAATGTAACTAAATTAGTTAAAAGTCAGGAATTTGGGGCACTTTTTTTTAGACTGCTTTTGCATTATATTTTAACTTGTTCTTTCTATGAATTTGCAAAACCAAAAGTCAACCAAAATTTCCTTTTTATATTTTCCATTGTAGACTCCATAACCTAATGGTGCATAAAGCACCAAAAAAGATTGCAAAAAGAAAAAAGAACACATGAGATCCTGATTCGCCCAAGACTAATATGATCCGAAGACCTTGAGGTTGGTGGTTCGATCCCTGGCTGCTCCAGTATGCATGCCAAAGTATCCTTGGTGAAGTTCCTGAACCCCAAAGCTCCCCCCAATGCAGTCAACAGAGAGTCTATGTTAAACAGAAGGCACTTAAAATGTAGAAAAAGTGCTTGTATGAATATATAAGTGAATGAGACGTTGTATAATGAGCTTTAAGTACCCAAGTAGAGTAGAAAAGCACTATATAAGAACCGGCAATGTAAGATCACCAGTTTCTAGAGGTCCCCAAGTAATAGTTTGTGGTGTTAACAGGGCTTTAGAAAAGGCAGCTTCTTCAATCCTCTACTCAGTCTTCTCTTTAGGTGATAGAAACAAAGACCAGTGTCCTCCAGTTAAACTCTTCCTCAAAAGAAGCACCTAGTCTTTAGTTATATGCTCCTACATACCATTAAACCATTTACAATTAAATAACTGTTGCCATAATCTGTACAAATTCAACTGTTTTTTGTGAAAGTAAAGATTTATTGGAGATCCTAAATGGCCTTGTTCTAGAGTTATTACATTCACAACTTGACCTCTGATACCGGGATTTCAACTTGTCCAAGATGTTTTGCATTCTTAAAGGCAGGGTGAAAAAAATACACTGTCAGCAAGCGGCTCCCTATATGCCTGTTCTGTTTGTGCCACACAGCGGATGGCGCTGCATGAATCAGGTGCAATATTACATTTTCAACCCTCCCTTTCACAATTTCCACATTTAACAACTTCTTCGTGCAGAAACTCGCCACAACACATTGACTTGCTGCACCATTTAGTGGTATAAATTGATGGATATATTGGACCATAACACCTCTGCAGTTTCTGCCTTGCAGTTGCTAGAATCTGTTGACAGTAAAAGTTAATTTTTTTGAAGGCACCCAGGATTTGATGCTCCATTACAGGGTCAGCAGACAACTCTGGTTGTTCTCTAGGTAAAATGTATTTTTAGAATTACATTGCTAGATAACTGAATCTTTTCTAAAGTTGTTGGCATGTGTGGTGCAGACCAAAGAAGATCCTCATGCCAATTGCGAAGCATGGTGGTGGAAATGTTATGGCTTGGGGTTGTTTTTCTGCCTCAGGGACAAGGCCTGGGCCCGCTATATTAATGACGAGGTGAATTTTGAACTGGATTGTTGAACTGGACCTTTCAAAGAGTTAACAAGCCAACGAACATGAACAAATCCGTCAAGTAATTGGTCAGATGAAGGCTTATTGAACGGTCTAGTCAACGCCACATCTGAAGGCTGCTAAAATGTTATGGAGTGATTTGCAAGTAGCATATATGCAAAGAAAAGAAACTCTTCAAACGTCTTGCAGCTGAAAGAATATTTTCAGCAAGGTGTCAGAGACTGGTGTGCAATTATGCAAATTGCCGCAGAGTTATTTCTACTGAAGTGGGCAATGCTAGCTTTTAAAGCCGGGGGGGCTAATTACATTTGTAGAGAGTCTTACTTCTGTTGATGTTTTTCCCTGAATAAGCGATTGAAAAAGCACATCATCTTCTGAAGTCATTCACCTTTATCTCTACACGCGCTTTTAAATAGGGACTTACAAGATGTCCAGTTATATCAAAAAGGCAACATTTTAATGGAATACAGTTATTTTGTCACATAAAACTAGTCTTTAAGTTTGTCAAATATGACCATCCTTCTCATTGACGGGGCAGAAACTAAAATCTCTCATCCTGAGTTTCGGCACACGTGAATGATTTCGAAAACCAATCAGCAAAAGAGGTAGTTTTGTATTAATTCAGGGCCTCGCATTCATATTATCTGCAGTCATGATAAAAGAAAAATCTCAAAACTGAGCCCAGCAGTATGTCTTGCTCCTTGGCCCCAAAGAGATCAATTAAGGGTGGATCATAGCGTTTCACAGGGCCCACGTCTACCTGTGCTTGCCCGGTTTCACCCCCACCCCCACCCACCTCCCTGTAGTCAGGCAGTCCGCTCTGACAGGCAACACTTTTCTCTGCAACCTCCCCTGACAGGGTGAGAACACATCCATCAAACGGAGGCAACCGCGACAGACAAGCTTGGTGCGAGACAACCTGTCAGGCTGGCTTGTGTTCCACTCGGCATAGCTTTGCCCTCATTTCATCTTCTTCTCTGTGTATTCTTCTCTGTGTATTCACTGTATTTTTTTTTTCTTTTTTCGTTCGGACTCTCTTTCACCCGCACCAACTCCCATTCTCCTTCCACCAGATCAATATTTCTGTTACTCTCAAATGTATATGTTTGAAGCTGCTGACTCTCTTTTTTTAAAAACAAAACTTCTGTCCGTTTCACTCAGTAATAAGTGTCAGAGGTTATATTTGACACAGCTTCTGAACCAACTTCTTTACATGCTTGTCTTACAGTACGTGTCGAGGTTTTTCACTTATTAGATACCCCCCTTTTTAATTTCTTTTTTTTCCCCTTGCATTTCAGATGTGCAGTGCCCGTCCTTACAAGTGGAGGACTGGAAGTTTCCCCAGAGCGCCAGGACCAACATCACCGGTTAATAGACGAGCTCCAAACACACCAGCTGTTATGTGACTTTTATTTGGTGTGGCTGCTCACGAATGCCTTACCCTTTGCAGGTTTTAATCTGGTGAGGCGATTTTCCCTGCTCAAGAGCAAAGATGTCAAGAAGATCCGTAACCCTCGAGGAGCTGTCATCCTCCGCTTGGGCAAGACTGCGCTCTTACGACCCAGCGAGTAAGTCCGCTGTACATCTGTTTCATCTGTTTCATCTGTTTCTCCGCGCATCTGCAGACAAACCCGTGCACGAGCACGCAGCGTGGAGCTTTAGATCGTTGAAGATGTTTTACTGGGAAAGAATTAGTGAAGTTCTGCAGGTTTTCCAGCTTTCTAGAGGCCTGTGTGGATGGGCTCTCTGTTTCCATGTCATATCTGAACAAAGAGGACGGCAGAGAAACTGAAAACCCTCGGCTCTTCGGCCTCTGAACTCTCACTCAACATGTCAGCGCAGTGCAGTGTGTTTAAAAAAAAAGGAAAAGGAGAAAAAAAAAAGCAGAATCTTGGCGATCTGTATGTCGTGGGTCAAGCTGTGATTGCATTTCCAGAAATACCCATTCATTTCCCTCACCACCAACCCTGGCTTGTAAACTGGGCTGTAACAGCTTGTTGGTTTCCCACTTGCAACCGCATGTACTTATTATAACTAGCTTTCATAATGAAATGCATGACTTATTTGCCTGAACAGAAACTATAAGAGTGACGTCTTAATTAGAAGGTGGGCCACAGTTAGCTGGAAAGAGGAAAAAAAAAAGACTTTAAAGGCCGTATTGGGCAGCTTGTTCTTAACTTGTTTCTACATGAAGAGATCCGCAGCCATAAAATGCAGCAACTCATGGCTTCACTCCCTTCCGTGCTTTTTGCAGCTTGACATGGTGTAATTATGCCTTCTCGGGGTGTTCACGTTGTTATTACACAGCAGTCGGGTGTAGACTGTGTTTGGAATTGTGTGAAAATTGCTTATTAGAGTTCTGTGCTGGCTGTTTTTCCGGCTGGATGAGCTTCTCTCTGCCCACCGATAAAGCAGTATTTCACAACGTGCCAATTGGGTCAGCGCGCAGTATTTTATCACTCTGTCCAGCGCTGCGAGCCGTGAGCTCTGCTCACTTGAAAGGCCCGATAAATCTGTCTACAAAACACTCTTTTCGGTTGAGACGCTTTGTTCTTAAAGTGTCACATATATTGTTTGTCACAGACTTGGAGAGTAGTCGTACTTATGAAAAAGGGGAGAGAAAAACTGAAAAAACAACTGTCACTTCTTGGGAAATCAGCATCTTAGGAGCCAAAGAGGAAATACCAAGATGTTTTTGTTTTGCCTCTAACCATACAAAGAAAGGATGGGAACGCCATCTCTTCCCTGCTGCTCGTTTGGGATTTTGTGATTATTGAAATTTCGATGCCACCGAGAGCTCCGCTGTCAGTTTTATCAGTGAAGAACGCTACCTGGGCGACTTCTTTTTAACTGAGACAGAAAATAATCAATGTTAGCACATCAGCTTTGCCTTCTGGGTACCTTTCACTTTGCTTGAATTGCTCTATACATAGAACTCACTGTCATTTATGGGGTTCTCTAAATAATTAAACCAAATCTGAGACAGGCAAATCAAATAAGGGCTATTGTCTAATGGCTATGAATGCTAATTTTCTTCTTTGTTATTTGGTTGTATAATTTTTTTACTCATGACTTTAACTTGCATCCATTTCGATTTTTGAACAGGTTACCAATATTTGAATAGAAGAGTGCAGGTGCACAAGACTTTAAAGCATGTAGTTAAGGGTTAAGTCCAGAAGAACAATGCAGAAGAACAGTATCTGAAAGTCAAATTATAGGAGAACTGGACTGAAACTCAGTGGAAACAGGTTACGTGGAGTTTTAAACCATCGTCTATAGCAGTGGTCCCCAACCTTTTTTGTGCCACGGACCAGTTTATGTCCGACAACATTTTCACGGACTGGCCTTTAAGATGTCGTGGATAAATACAACAAAATAAAACCAGTACCGGTTTGGGGCTGTATTGCAGCCAGTTGTCGAACTATGAATGCAGAAAAGTACAGTCATATTTGATCTGTCATGCAATTCCATCTAGAAAGTGTCTCTTTGGCAACAGCTTCATTTTTCAGTATGGTGATGATCACTAACACACTGCCACTACTGTAAAACCTGGATAGAAAAAACACAGTGGAACACTATCAGTCATGGATTAATCTCCCCCGAGCTCAGACTTCAACATTATTTAAGCAGTGTGGGATCATGTTGACAGGGAATGGAACAAAAGGCAGCCACCATCCAAAGAAGAGCTTTAAATGTCCTTCAAGAAGCCTGGAGAACTATTCTGAAGCCTTCTTAAAGAAATTACGAGAAAGCTTAAAGACAGTTCAGGCTGTGTCGAAGGATGAAGGTGGCCATACCAAATATCAACTTTCAAACTTGTTAGAATTGTTCAAACACTGTTTTCTTCCTCATGTGCTCTATTTCCATCTTACTGAAGAAGTAGTTTAATACACAACTGCACCTATTTACCATTTTCCTGGCAAAATATGAAGAAATGAGGTTCGTCTCAAGACTTTTCGCAGTACAGTATTTGTGTGTCCCTGCAAGCATATGTGTGTGTTGCTCTGCATAGATGTGGCATCTTGCGTTAGATTTGACCCCTTTTTTCATGCAAGGTCAGGCTGCATGGGGTGTTTGTAAAACTAAGTAACAAACAACGCACATCCAGCTCCGACTCGCTGTCACTCACACGGCTTTTTAATTCATTTCCTGTGAGGCCGACTCAAGTGAAGGACGTGTGTTCTGTAATTGGAAAGTGGTGTTTTGCTTTGTATCCCAGGCTAATCCAAGCTAATGCAAATGAGTGACAGTCAGACGAAGCTACTCGTCTCCCGCCTCTCTCAGCTGTCTGCTGACAGTGAAATGAGCACCGGTCACAACTGGTCACACGCATTTTAATTTCAGAGAAATATAATGTGGTTGCTTCGAGCGTGTTTCTGTTATGCAGCTCCAGTGTATAGAAGTCCTGTAATGTTATGGAATGAGGCCATGGTGGAAGCTATTTAAGTCAGAAATGAGATGCGTTTAACAAATTTGAGACTCACTATCACCCAGCAGGAGTGGTACAATTTGTAGTTTAATTTAAAAATTGATGCTGCTCTTATTAAAAAGAAAGTAGTTACAAATTTATAGTATTAAGATCAAGAGATTGAAGTGGTGGGGGCTCATGAAAAAGCAAAAGAGCAAAGATAAGTTACAGCTGTATTTTTGAAGAAAAAAGGCAGATTCGGGATAACTCGGTAAGGAGAGACATATATACTCCTAGCTATTGTTGTCTGTAACACTCTTACTGTGTAGGATTTGATCTTTTTTCTCTTCTCTAAATCAAACTTTCCGCAGCAGCTTAAATGTCATTTTTCTAGATGGGGGCGGGGCTCTGGAACATCATTTATTAGCAGTGCTATCACCTGCCTCTGGGGATGTCAGTATCGGTCAGATTGGTTGTTCCACTGCTTAGGTCTGAACCAGAACATCTCAGAAACTACAGGATGGATTGCTGTAACCCTTGCACTGATATTTGTGGTCTTCAGAGAATATATTGTAATTGCTCCACTGATCACCTTGGTTTACCCTCTAGCTCTACCAGCAGGAAGACGTATTTTTGCTTTTAGTGAAATGTCTGGCAGCTGTCAAATTGACTGACATATCATCTGATACAAATTTGTAGAGGCAGCCAAGGTGCCCAGAGGATCAATCCTAAAGATGTTGGTAATCCCCTGGCGTTTCAGCTAGCACAAGACACTGACATTTGTGGTTCTGAAAGAAAACTCTTCACTCACGGATAGATGAAATTGATGAAATTTAAATCATACATTGACTGTCCTCTCAAGAAGGATTGTGATAGATTTTATTTTTTTTATTTTTTTCCTATCAGCTTCAGCTGTAAAATCAGCATGCAAGCATTGTCATTGTGGAAATCCAAGCATGCTAATGTTAGCATTAAAGGAAAAAGTACATGTCCGCTATAGCTTGAAATTGTGCTTTTTCCCTTTTTTTGTGTGTATGCGTCAGGTTCTAGCTGTTTAAAATTCCTTACGTTTAGTTGTGTATAAAACCATCAGGGATAGAAGTCCTCTCCACTGAAAGCAATTGATTCCAGCACAGTTAGAACCCAATATAAGGGTGTCTGTATTCCTCTCCAGGTGATATTCTCATCTTAAACTAGAGATCTGCTATTTCAACATTAGATTTCTTCTTCCCATCTTCCCCTGTGCCTCTCTGGCTCACAGAGACTTTCTTCTGCCGCTTTCCTCTTTCTCTCTCTCTCTTTTCTGTTTTTTTAACAAGTAACTTTCTCTCAGAGTTAGAGTCTAGATCTGAATCTGCTGGGCCCCGCAGTGAGTGATTTATCTCCCCGTTGCATGTTTGTGTGTATATGTCGGACCCTGAACATAATAGGCCAAGTTGCAGTACTTCCAACTTAAAAGTCAATAGTTTCCGTACTATGAGTGCTTTTGTGCCCTGCAGCTCATGTCACTAATCGACAGCAAAACAACTGTGTTCTCAACATTGGATTTTCTGTCTCTCCTCTCCATTTCCCTGTCTGTTTCTATTTCTTGCGTGTGCTTTTTCCATTTCATTTCCACAAGTTGTGTGAACCCCAGAGTTTCCTATATATTATCTCTACCTATGTGCGGATTAGTTAAAGGCAAATTCTCATGCATTTTCATATTGTACCAAGTTTTCTACTCTCTCATCTTTCACTTGCTTTCTTTCATGTGTTTTTCTTTATCACCCTTTTCTTCCACTCATCTTCGCTTTGTTTTGACATCCTGTAGTTGGCTGTTTTCCCTTGGATCTTTCCTCAGTTATAAATCACTGTCACCCCACTTCTAAGAAGGGGAAACCAGCTGCTCCTTCATCTCTCAATACATCTGCACACTTCCAAGCAGTGAATGCGTGTGTGTGCGTATGTGTATTATATTTATGTGCTTAGGTGCCCTTGACCAGCAACTGAGAGATGAGGCTTGCCGGACTGTATCTGCTATGAAAATTAATGCCAAAGGGTAACACACGGGCTTTGCATTGTACTGCAGTCACAAAACGTATAGTGCAAAAAAAAAAGAAAGAAAAAAATAGAAACGTAATGGGAACATGCATGGAAAAGAACAGGACTCACGCAGAAGTGTGTAAATACACAAACACACACAGGATTACTTTGTTACTCTGTGCTCATGAGGACGTGAAGGAAAGATATATGAGCCCAAAGATTTGTCCCTATGAGTAAAAGCCCAATTAAATGAGACGGCAACTCTCTGGTTGCTCACTGTCTTCATGTGAAGACGTGTTTTGCAAATAACACACAATAACCATCAGTAGGTTGGTACATATATTCGTAACCCATAAATACACATAGTATACACACCTATAAAGATTTCTATACATGCAAATTATTTAGTGGTGCTGCAGTACAGTAACTACATTCCCTTTTCTGCTCTCCAAGCTAATTCCTTACTGGACTGGCCAATGAGTTTAGGTCATTGGTCATACATATTCATATACAGAATATATTTACAGAGATCTGCTAAGACTTATTAGACCACTATCTCTTTTTGGGGCTGTCACATAGAGACTTTGAAAGGCTCTATGTGACGCATCACGTCACATGTTAGATTTTCAGTTCACTCAGAGGCCACATAGTACCTAAGATGTGTTGGCTTGAAAAGGTTAAGCAGCAGATTTTCCCCTGAGAAGGCAGGTTTTGCATCACACATGAAGCCATTATTAGCTTATTTGTTGGACTGCTGCAGTTTTAAATGACTCAAGTAGTTTTCATGAACAATCACCCCCAACTGGTAGATGGCTGCCCCTCGCTAAGTCTGGTTGTGCCGGAGTTTTCTTCCTGTTAATATAGAGTTTTTTCTTCCCACTGTTGCCAAGTACTTGCTCATAGGGGTCATCTGATTGTTGGGGGTTCCTTTCTATTATTGTATGGTCTTTACCTTACAATATAAAGCACCTTGCAGGTGACTGACTGGAATGCCTTCTGGACGACCACTAAGTGAGGCGAGACTTCTGTCCTATTCTGAGGCAGATGCAGGATGCTGGAGAGATTATGACTCTCGGCTGGGTTGGGAACCACTCGGGTGAGCTAGAAGATTTGGGATGTGGGAAGTCTGGGCTTCTCTGCTTAGGCTGTTGCCCATACGACCGGAACTCGGATAAATGGCAGAAAATGTGTGGATGCTACCCAAATGCCAATTTAAAAAGATGAGTGAAAGCCTTTGAATGCATACACAGATAAGCTCACAGAAAATAAACTGGATGGGAAAGAATTCTAGAGAGTGGGGCCCACTACTGCAATGTCTCCATCACCTTTAGTTTTTATTCTACATTTCAGGATGGACAATTAGCCCTGATCAGAGGACCTGAGAGTCTTGCTGGTGACATATGGTATTAAAATTTGCCAATATAGGTGGGTACTTTATGCAGAACCCAAAAGGTGAACAGCAGAACTTTGAATTAATTTCTAAATATGATGCAGAGCAATTGCAGTAGGATGAAAATGTATTATAGTTCTCTGATGATGAAAACAAGAACAAACTAGAGCCTTAACATTCAAATCCAACCTTAACATCTGGTTCTCATCAACAGTCATTCCCGGGTCTCTAATAGATAACGTAAACAGGACATAACAGGAGAGGGAACCCAGATTTCTAAGGACCTGGGGGACTAGGCTTGCAGAGATGCACACAACGATCTCTGTTTTATTCTCAGTCAGCTGGAGAAAATTACATAACATCCAGGCTTTTATGCAGTTCAAACAATTCTGTGCAATTAAAGCTTTAAAACACATTGAGGCTTAAAAGTGACATAAAGCAGAAAATCATCAGCATACAAATGATAAGAACTGTTTGTGTCTCAAAATCTGATATAAAGGAAGTTGAGACATCCAAACCTTTACTGGCTAATGAGCACCAAAAGCACTGGATACAAATCTATTTCCCAAAACAATGGAATGACTTCATAACACCTTTTGTTAGCAATCACTGGGAGAACTTATGACTGTAGTTTTAGTTTTCTATTCATTCTTCATAGACTGGTAAACCGTGAATATTCCAGTTTTTCTTTTCCTGTTTTTTCTGCCTTTTTCATTTCTCCTCCGATAAAGAGAGTAATGCTCCAAAGAAGCATCAAAAACACATTATAACTTTAAACTTTATGTTTTTAGTTTGTAGCACAAGCCCTTTGTAGTTTAGCTATTTTCTTATTTTTAAAAAATACTTTTGTTGCTTGTTCTCAGTGAATTCTCTAAAGTGTGAGAGGCTAGCACTCTCCATGAGCTTTTAGTATAAAACTGGAGAAGTCCCTCTTTAATCATTCTCTGTGTGCAGCTTCACAGTTTGCAGCTCCTGTGAATAGAGGAGTGTCTTGGATCTGACCCCTCTGAACTTCTGTGCTCCAGCCAGGTGTTCCCCTATGGCCTGCCAGAGGAGTTCACTCTGGTCTTCACCCTGGCGTTAAAGAAGGCTGCCTTGAGAGACACCATCTACCTCTTTCAGATATCGGATGCGCAGGGATATCCACAGGTGCGGCTCCCTCATCATTTCCTCAGTTTTACACTTTCTCCCCCTCCCCCTCACTACTCTCTTTCCTTCTGTTCTCTCATTACTTGCTTCTCCCTTGATCTTTCACCTTTTTATCCCTCTCACTTTTTTGTCTTTTCATTCTCTCCGCCGCTCATCTCTCTCTTGCATAGTCATCCACTTTCCCTTTCGATTTCTTTTCTCTTGTGACATCTTTTCAATTTTCTCCCCCCTCTTTCATTCCATACGGCTTTTGTCCCCTCGTATTTTTCATCTGATACCCTCTCTTTTGCTCCCTGTCTCTTTGTCAGTCTTCTTTCGATCATCTCCGACTCTCCTCTTTCATTCACCTTCATTGTTATTCACTTGTGTTCCATGATGAAGCACTGGAGTCCCTCGGAGTCCCGATAATCACTAAGAGTTGGAGGCCAGATTTAAATACTTGGCGTGTATGATGGATGGAGGCCAAGTCGCCTCATTAGCAGTGATTGATTGGCTGTACTGCTTGTGTGTGTAATTAATATGTCTTTCCCCTTTGCTAGTCAATTGTACAGGTTTGTTAGGTGGTAATCACGTGTACGTACTGTATTAAAGTTTGTTGAAACCACTGCCAGTCAAACACTTTGAGATATACTTCTTTTTGTTTTACCTATTTGCATTATTTTGAGTTTAACTGGTACAATGCCACCTCATTTATCCTGTTCTTTGCCTCCAACTAAAACCCAGCTCTCCGTAGACGTCAGCGGCCCAGATCGCACCCTGTCCTTTCGAGCCAAAGGGGCAAACCCTTCAGCGGACCTGGTGGGTTGTGTTTTCACTGGAGAGGGAGTGGAAGCCTTGATGGATCTGCACTGGCACAAGTTGGCCCTCAGTGTCCAACACGGAGCTGCTTCCCTCCATGTGGATTGCAGCTCAATTGAGACCAAACCCCTGGAGCGCAGAGGAGCCCTTCCCTCTGATGGACACACTCTGCTGGGTATTCGGGCGTCAGATGCTGGGGCTGTGCAAGTATGAGATTAATAAAAAATATAATAATTTTATTTTTATAGTGTCAACAATAAACAACAATTTAAAAAAAATACAGAAAATCATAAACACGCAGGATATAAAAAAACTTACATGTATAGTTAACAGGAAAACCTCAGTAAAGACACTTCCTAGATAGTAGATACAGTTGGACCTAATCTGGCATTAGAAAATGGTGTGTGGGCCAGATGTGTCCCAAATGGTTGAAACATATCTAGCATCTGGCCCGTATCAGACGGACTTTGGCAGAGTTAGACAATCTGAGTCAGCGTTATAAGTAAAGACTAAATGAGACCCATAAAATAGGGCCACATTTGGGCTAAACATTCAGTGCTCTTTTGGTTTTACAGAAGGGAACCCTAAAAGCTGCTTTTGATTTACTTTGGGTGCTCAGGAAGAAAGCTTCAATGCTGAGACACGAACAGCAAGGTCTCATTCACCCCGAGTAACAAAGTGAGTGGCTGGAAAAAACCAGGAGACTTCTGCCAGAGGACTCTATAGGGATTAAAATATCAGCAACGTAACCGAGAGTCTGATTGTGGAAAGCCTGAGCCATATTTTAAAATCAGTCCTCAAACTCAGTTCGTAAATATGCAGAAAATGGAGCGACGTGATCTGTTTTTTTTCTTCCGTGGCGTGACTTAGGTGCTCCCAATTTCAACAGTGAGGCTTCTTTCACAAAGCTGGGTGCAAAACAAATGGAGAGCGGTGCAATCTGCCGCCAGCACATTGATTAAAATAAAGTGGTCGACAGAACTCGAAGCCAGATTAAAACACACCAGTTACCAGAGTTTGCAGTTGTCCTTTTGAGCCTCCTGAGCATGTTTCAGTGTTGTGAATTAAGCAAGATTGGAACATTTTTTTTCCACCCAAAAAATTAAGTCTTGTTGTTTATAGACGGTATCAATCACAAGTTAAATTTAGTTTTTTTTTAACTCCTCTAAAACATTCAATACAACTGCAAGCAAAGCCCAAGGTTTGCCAAGGGTAGACTTTTTTTAGCTAGTGCTTGGCCATTCCATGCTTTTAAAAATGGTCTACTGGGAAAATAGAGGGACATTAGGCAAAGAAATATCACATGCTTGACTTCACGGTCTTGACTGTTGAGGAGCTTTTGATTAAGATTAAGGTTTGCAACGTAAATGTCATCTCAAGTTACTATTTGAGCATATGGTGACCTTTAGTCTCTCTCTGTATGAGGAACAAACTGTTTCAGAGGTGTTATGAATGAGCCAGGTTGAGGTTAGTGCCACAGATGAGGGCATCCTAGAGCACAGTTGAGTAATATAACACAGTAGACCCCTGACATTTAGAATTTCACCACTTTATCGAAGCATTTATCCAGGAAAAAAGACATTCCCTACCATCCTCCCATAAATGCCTTTCAACTGAAATCATAGATATTTAAGCTTATATGTACGTATATATGCGTCTGTTCTACACCCATAAGGTTTTCATTCCTTTAAGACAATCTCAATGAGTCCTGATTTAAAAACATAAGCCTACCTAAGCGAATATATGTAGTGAATTGAGACTATTAACGCTAAATAGATCCAGTAATCCGGACAATTAATTTAATGATCGGTTAACCGGCCTAGCTGGGAAAACAGCTAGGCCACTTTTGTCAGTTCAGGGGGGAACACACGCACACTCTCACACAACCGCAGACATTCACAGGAAGCATCTGATGAAGTGATTTTCCATTGCTTTACATTAATGAGAAATTAACTGACTCTCAGCCATGTTTACTGCCTCATTTACACTTGATGTTCTTAATAAAATAAACAAAGCAAAGTACCCTTAGACACCGCCATATCCAGCACTGTATTTACTATCCTCTCTCTGTCTGTCTGTTTTTTGCAGATGGATATTCAGCAGGCAATGCTGTATTGTGACCCCTCACTTGCCATGCACGAGGCCTGCTGTGAAATACCTGGGGCACGGGTGAGAGTGGAAACCCTTACTGTCTTTACCAGCAACTATAACTTTGTCTGGAGCAGAGGCTAATAGCAAAGAGTTTAAATGAAAACTTTAGCTTTTTGGGAAAATCGTTGCTTTCTTTCTACGTCTACGTGCACTTTACAGCATGCCCTACTTTAGCATAAAAAAAAGCTGCTTAGCGCACAAAAGAGCTAGCTTAACGCTGTTGGAACACAAAAGAAATCTACTTACTGACATCTCCAAACACTATCAAATTAGACCAGTGTTGGGGCACAAAAACTTTAAAGCAATCACCACAGAAATGGAGGCTGCAAGCCTGACTGTTCATCACTGCTTTTGTTACCTGTTGAAGATGAGGATCTGGCTGCTGGGCTGGTGTTAGCATACACTCAGCTTCAACAGAATTCTGGCTTCTTGGCTAGCTTTGAGTTGTGTTAGCAGTAATGCTGTTATTTCTGTTTGAAGATCTTTGGCTTGTTTAAACCCGAAGTTCATTAAAAATTCAAATAAAGTAAAAAAGAGTTGTTTTGTAAACCTGACTGAATGTAAATTTGGGGCAGACTCTTACTTTTGTTGAACCAAAGCTGAGCTGAACTGAGCCCCGGTGACTGTAACTCAGCACTTGTCGCAGCTCCATGACAGTAAAAGTAATCTGTTGGATGGCTTTTACTGTTAAACAGCTGCAAGAAAAGCTGAGTCTGCATTATCCAAATTAAATACCATAAAAAAAAGTCTCTGCAATTTCTCTTGAGACTTTATGGGTTTTTTTGTTAATCAGCAATGCTTTGTCTTTATAATGCTCTATTCTGTTTTCCCCCCTCCACTTATTTTTGGTGGTCAGAAAGGAAGAAAAAAACTTGGCTGCAGATCATGGTATGCAGGAAGCCCATATTTTTATAGGACTCCATCAGCTGTTTGACTAAGATTATTGTCTTAATTCTGCTCCAGAAACTTTGTTTGAATCTATAATATGTTAATCGACAAGAATTTAATTTGGTTATTTGCACATAAAATGTGATTTGCCAATATTATTAGCTTAAGGCGTGACTAAAAGCCATTTTCGAACATTCACGTTCCTTGTCGCACCTTCCAGAAGCCATTTTCTATTCTGTTTCATTGTTTTTATAGTTCGTCGTCTTTCTCTTGCCTGTCTACCTCTTTTCTTCTGTGTTTTTGAGCGGTTATTGTTTGCAAACTTCAGACAAGCACCTTATCAAATAGAAAACAGATGCATTGGACTGAAAACCCCATAAAAGTGTGTTGAGCAAGCAGTTGTTCATGGGAAGAATTGTAAACAGCCAGTTCAGAGTATATTTTTAAGCTGAAGGTATTTCATGAATTCACCCAACTTTTTGTAGCAATTCTCCAGGGTTGTCTGTGCTTGCGTGTCGTTTCGTGCATGCATATGTGCCTTTTTCATTACCAGATGAATTCATGGGAGGGATACAAACAGGGTGAGAAGCTCCTTCAGAAGTTTGAAAATGCAGAGGCCTCTGGAGGAGGGATTGGATCCTGTAAAATTGATTAGAGGGTTTGAAGACGAAAACCTCTTCTCCTTTGCTCATGGCGTGTGTGCTGCAGGGCCTCCTCCAAGCGGCGTTTAAATTTGAAATGAGAAGTGGAGGAGCACATACATATGTGTATACGCACACCCATGAAAGTTGCAGCGTCTTGAAACGCAACTACATAAGAGCAGATTTTGTTTCTACACACAAAGTCAGCCACTATTATGTTATTTGAATGTGAGTGCTTCTTATCAGAAGGGACTTATCCCAAGCATCTCTTAAAGTTGGTAAAACATGATTTTAACCAAATTTTACATCCTACCCAAAGCAGAAATTTGACCTTAGTGATCTAAATCTTGTCTTTGCTCTCTTGCAGTGCCCTCCTGATGCTCCCAAGAGCCGCCGTGCTGCTGAAAACGACCTGTTGGACAACACATTTAACCAGGTAAGACTACCGATGCACAACACATGTACAAACACAAAGCGAGAAATTTCTAGTTGCTTAGAGATAAAAATAATAATAATAATAATTACACAATAATCACAGAACAGCAGCACACACTTGGCAATTATAAACCATGTGGACACCACTACTAAAGATCAATAGGACGTCAGTGGTATTTCAACTGATGTAAACATAGCAAGTTACTGATAATACTTCAAAATGTTGTATTACTTGTACAAATGTATTTAATTTATTAAATCAACATTAGTTTAAAATAAGTTTTAGTGGATTCACTCCTACACTGTCTGTCAAGGAGAATTCTCAGACTGTCACTGCCTCCATTTGTAATCAACACATCTACAAAAGACATCACAAAACCATAAAGTGAATAAAACATATGAAAAAAGTATGAAAGGAGCATACTTTGTTCAGATTTTGATTTTTTTTTTACTTAATGTATGTTAATGTGAGTCTGTCTTCCTCTTGCTCTCTCTCTTGAGATCTGGTGTACATAATCGTGACATCAAAGTTATATTGGCAAGAAAAAGTCAGTTAGTGACACTTTAGAAGAGTCTAATAATCACCACTGTCAAACTCACACATCTCCAGTATGTGTCACTACGGAGCTCTGCAGGGGACATTGGAGAAAAAAAAATAAAGCTGAAGTCTTGCGAGATCTCGCGAATGTCTTTTCTTCTCAGCTCGAAGCCGACCGGGAGGTCGAGGCACGATGTGCTGGGAGTGCGATGATGAACCGAGTAGAGTTACTTTTGCGAGATCCCGAGTTACTTTTGCGTGAGTCCTTATCTGATGTATTTATAGAGGACATGCAGAAATGTTCTTTCCCATGGTTTTTTAAATACTATTTACCAGTCAACTATAAATCAATGACTTTTCAATAGTGGACAAATGGGATGCACCATTGGGAGAGGGGTGAAATGGAATAGTCCAAACGATAATAGCTTTATTTTTTTTAGATCAACTGTAACTTTATGACTTTTCAACCTTTTTGTTGCCACCTACTCTACACTTACTACTCTATACTATATTTTCTAACGTTAGTTCAAGATTTATTTAACTTTAACCCAACCATACCCATATGGAAAAGAAATAGTAAAAACTTATATGTGATTACTCATGAAAATGGCCACTTTCTCATTACTTTCATGTATTGTTTTAGTAAGTATCCAAAACATACAAGTTTCATTATATAATTTTTCAAGGGATCTTATATCTGTTTTCACTCTTGTATGCTTTTCATACAAGTTTCACACAAGACAGATACAAACTTTATAAGATTTATATATATCTTTTCCATATGGGTAATAGATGATTTAGATGAACGGCCAGCATTGATTTAATATCGTCTTACTGTCCAGAAAATATTGTAATCACCTCTCAGAAGAAGAAAAAGCCAAAAAAAAAAAACCCCAGAGTCAACAAGATGTTCCTGCTTGAAGTCCACTTGAACGTATCTCATGGAAAAGGAATATCCCTCCTCTTATTCTCCTACCTATGTAAGTTATTTGTCGAGCATCAGTTTAAATGACCCACCAAAGAAAACATGTTTGGCTACTGAAGAACTATGGCAGAGTAAATGGAGGAAAGCATCTTTTTTTACCCTCCAGGTGGACATTAGGATAATGAATCGATGTCATGCGGAAACTACGAGAAGACACACATGCACCAATTACCGTACACAGCAGATTCGCTTCTTATGCACAAGTATTTCTAATACCAATGACAAACACTTTACTCTAGGAACAAAATGAAGGGGGGGGGAAAAAACAAACCCTTGTCTCTTGGATCGTGAATTATCTCCCCCCCGCCTCTCATCAGGCATAGAAATAACACAGACAAACACAGACATACACTTGGCCACAACTTTGTTCTTCAGGCAGTTTGAGCTGTCTGAGATGCTCCTGCTGGCAAGCAAACGCCGGCCAGCAGGACTTGTACCAAATGGCTTTGTTGTTCTCCGTTGAAGCTCCACCATGGACAACATGTTTTCTGCTCTGCAGTAGTCTTTATCATTTTGTCATTTTCTGTGACTTCTGTTCAGTAAAGTCTGCTGGTAGCAATTGTTCAAAGTGTCTGTGAGCAGGGTCCAACGCATGACAAATAGAGCCTTATGCAACACATGGGAGACATTTTTTCCACAAATTGTCACAATACTTTTCAAAATTTATTTTTTGTTCTTGCTTTAATATCGCTTGGTATGTGGAAGTTCTTCCAGTAACATACAGGCAATTTATTTTTGTTTTCACAGCTGCCTGTTTTATTATTCATATTAATGGGACATGTATCTAATTATCTCTTCATTAGGGCCTGGTGTTTGTCCTGTGGGGTGCTAACTTAAAACTCTGGCAGATTCTAAGACAGTAATCAGTCCCATAGATGGTTTCCTCACCTTTCACTCTTTCTCGCCTTTTCTGCTATTATAAGTTCTCGTAGACTGACTGCTTTTAGGTAACAAGACATTTAGTCTTATTATGATTAATGTTTTTATCTCTACTGTACCCGTTCTCTCTCTCTCTCTTTTTGTTTTTTAAAATAGCATAGCGCTCAAAGACTGGTAATTCTAATTTCATCTGTGTATCACTTTTGTACACCCTAAATAAACTGTGAAATCCAAGATTCCAGTGTGTGAGCCAGATGTTATTGATGCATACCAGAGCAACCATTAACCTTGGATTAACAGAGAGACAGCAAGTTAACCTTGGCATATGTGAAGAGACTCGAAAAACAACTTCTCTAGACGTGGATTCCTTTCTTTTTCCTCTACAAATAGCCTTCTACTACTTCTAAACATGAAAGTTGTTTTAGAGTGGCTGGAGTAAAAGTTGTACACCGTGGCTCTAGAGGGACCTGCGAAGTTATGTCACTTAGCACTTAGCATGGTTCAACACTTGGTGACAAAACCCGTTGATGGACGAATTGCTTTCTGTGTAGCTTTTGGGCAATTTTTTGTTGTGTTTATGTGCTTTTTAAGGATAAAGACTGAACCTGAAAATTTCAGGTAACAGAGGCATAATATGAATATAAAGCTATTGAAAGAAACTCAGCTTAGGTCATCAAAGTGAGCATTTTTTATGATCATTATGTTTTTTAAGCAAAACTTACATTTAAAAAAAATTGTAAAATATTCTGTTCCTTCCCTACCTCACATCTGATTCATGCATACACCTGCTTTAGCTCAGCTTGTTCCAACTCTTCATGCATGTGGAAAGAAATATTCAACACAAAACTCATCCAAGAACTGTTCAAATCTATATACTGGAATGCCTCTTTCATTATGTATTAAAAAATAATATAGCTCTTAAGATTAGTTAAATACAGCGTGAAATAAACAACAACAGTATTGCACATGTCGTTGTTTATTTAACAAAAACTAAGCCAAAATGCAGACGCAGCGCATGAAAAACTAAGTACACCCCTGATTCTGTACCTTCTAGAACCACATTTAGCAGTATGGTATAGTATAGTATATTGAACTAATCAGCTTTTTGTATAACTTAACACAATGCTGTGGAATTTAGGCCCACTCTTCTTTACAATCTTGATTCCGTCCATCAACATTTGTAGGCATTTTTTATGTACAGCTCTCTTAACATCTCACCACAACATTTCAATCAGGTTGAAGTCTAGACTTTGACTGGACCATTGCAACACCTTGATTCTTTTCTTTTTCAACCATTCTGTTCTAATTTCAGCACAGCTTTAGCTGACTCACTGACTGTAAGGTGTCTAGAGCCAAAATCGTCACGCCTCCATCACCATGCTTGACAGTTGGTAAGAGGTGTTAGTACTGACGTTTGACTTTCACCAAACAAAAGTACTTTGCATTATGGCCAAACATGTCCACTTTGTTCTCATCTATCCAAAGGACAATAATCCAAAGGTCTTGTGGTTGTTTTAGATGCAACTTTGCAACCTAAGCCATGTTGATACGCTCCTGTAAGAGAGATGCTTTCTCCTTGCAACCCTTCCAAGCAAGCCATACTTGTTAAGTCTTTTTCGAACTTTAACATTACGCATGCTAACTGAGGCCTGTGGACTGTAGCTCTTTGGATTTTGGAGCTTCGTTGAGCAATGCCTGACTTTGGGGTGAAGTTAGTGTGATGATCACTCCTTGGAATATGGGAATTTCTTTCACTTGGGAATGCTCTCTCACTTTAGAATCATGGATGTCAAATTGTTTGGAAGTTTGCTTATAACCCTTTAAAGACTGGCACCCAGCAATTGTTGCTTCTATAACATTATTGTAGATTATTGTTTATTTTCATAAAATAATAATGACATGGTGTTATATGTCATTTGGTTTTGTATTTACCCACCTTTCAGATCTTGTAATCACCAGTTCATTTTTTTCTTTATTATATCCTGATTTTGTCCTTTATCATATCCTGAAATCTCAGTTGCATAACCTCCCCTTACCCTGGTGATATGCTAGACAGGCTGCCAGGCTGTCGGGGCTAAGAAAGAGTGACCATTCACACTCACATTCACACCTACGCCAAATGTAAAATCACCACTTAACCTTCAGTATAATGCATATCTTTGGACTGTGAAAGGAAGCCAGAGTGCCTGGAGTGAACCCACACAGGCATGCGGTCACAGCAGGTACTGCCTTTCTGAAGTATAACAAATCTCACCCTCAGTGTTTCTTATCTTTGACCACTGGAAACCTCTTTTTCTTGCTTTCAACCCAGCACCCCCAAAAGGTCGTCTAGTCCTCAATAGACTCAATAGTCCTTTGTGTTTCGTTTCCCCATCGTGTATCTCTTGGACTTTTTATGATGAGGTCTAACACCAGCCATAAAAACGACTTCTCCCCTCTTCCCTTTACTGACATGCTTTCTTATTGTTCACTTCCCAACTTTCCATCTTGGAACAGGTTGTTTCCGCTCAGCGTTCTGTGCTTCCTCTATCCCTCTTGTTGTTGGCTGTTTTTACTTATTTATTTATTTTGTCTGATTTTTTATTTTTTTTTTATACTGTGCACAGCAGGGTCCATCTCTTTACTTACCCCAGGGCTCCAGAGTTACAGCGTTTGCTTTCTCTCTCACTTTACTCATCTTCTTTCATCTCTTTTTCTTTTTCATGAAAACCAAAAATAAAGAATAAAGGATAATGACCCATGTGTGCAACCAAGATGGCCCTTATTTCATCCTCCTTTGTTCTTCTTCTGATGCAACGAATTGTAATGGTAACATAAATTTACGGGGATGCGCCGGACAAGCAATAGGAAAACAGAAGCTTCTCTATGCCACTCCTAAAAAGAAAAAATGTCATGTGATGTAGAGCCCTGTGATTTTTTTGAGGGCATTTGGTTACTTATAGGAACAAAGCACAGGAATTAAAAGGAACTAGAAACATACCATAATAATAATGTAGATTAAACAAATTTGAGAAGGAAATCAGACTCTGGTAAGAGTGTTATCACACCAGCACCAAAATGCTAATCTGTTTGAGTCAATATGGCCGAATATTAGCTAATCAAGTCATTAAGGTGAAAATCATGGTGGTCATGGTCATGCTCAAATATGAGTTGAAGAAAACAAAAGTGCCTGACGTTTTCTTTCTTTGCTTTCTTTTCTTCGTTTCTGCCAACAGGAGATTTTTGCATCCAAGGATCTTGCAGAAAAAGTAAGTCTCACATACACACTAAGCACATGTGGTTTTACGGTTTTACGGTACTGAATTTCTAACCACATTGCGCACTTGTTGCATAAGATGGTCGCCTCAACGGAAGAGAGCTCTGGGTTCAAAAAGTGAAGCTGACATGTTCTGCGTTTGTATTCTGGCGTTCTTTAGGAATTCATTAAAAGAAAAAAAATCAGGTTAGGGAGGAATCGCTAAGAACTTATTTGCAGCCTAGGATGTACCCTTCCTTTGACCCCAGTGCATTCTGCAATCTGAACCGGAAATATCAACCATATGCATGGATAACAACTCTTTCGGCATTTATATGCTGTTGAAACAGAAACCCGAAAACAATATGCAGGCCATGTGTGTGTGTCTGTGTATACGTGTGTGCAGGCTGCGTATATGTGTGTTGTGCATGAGACTGTTTCCTCCTGCCTCCACACATTCTCACAGCTTGCTGACTGACTGAAGACTGATTTACACCTCATTATTCGCTGGGTCTCAGTTGGGAGTTGCTTCTGCCTATTAATTTTGTCATTCACCTACAATAGGCATGTTCTGTTCACAAATAGAATACAAAACTCCAGACGCTTCATTATGTTGCTCCGGTGTGTGCTTACTAATGCGGGCTGCCGCCTCCGCTGACTTCCTCAATGTAGGTTATTACCTGGGTTGGAACATGCAGCTTGCCCTGCCGCTGGGGGCACACACACACACACACACACACTTTCAAGGAAACAAATGTGAGTTTTTCGTTTGTGCTACCAATGTAATTTGGTCAAATTATACAGGCAGCTGTTTTATTCAAAAGTAAAAAAAATGGTTGTGCGACCCATAGGAATCTATTGATAATACGAGGAGATATTATGCATCGCTGATGCCAACAAATGAACCAAATAGGCATATGAATTAGTATGATTATTGTCATAAATGATGTGAATAAAGGGTTGATTTGACTTGTGCGTCACAATCCCAAAGCTCAGTTAGAAACTCGTTTTCATCGCAATCTTGATGTCATTCTTTTTCATCTATTCTTTTGTAGTTTGTTCGTCTTATACGAGTGCATTCTTGGGCATGTCAGTCAAAATGCTCAGCATCGCCAAGCTGCATGTTTTCATGAAAGATTCCTTTATGATAGGGGGTGTCAAACGTAAGGCTCAGGGGCCAGAATTGGCCTAGTGAAGACTCCAATCTGGCCCACTGGATGGTTTTGGAAACTGTGAAGGAGAACATAACTTTTAACATGTTTTACAGGTTTTCCTACACACAAAGGCCTCTCCAATAGCCAATCATATTACACCACAGTAATTAAACTATAGATTTCTATACTTTTACACATTTATGTTTTATAATTTAAGCCCAATTAGTCATGCTGAGAGATTTCTTTTATTTTCTACAGCTGCATTTCTTTATCGTGTAGAAAAACTCTGACATACTGTTGAAATTGCTCTTCTTTTTCTTATATTAGGATTTTTCATTGATTTAAGGTATACTTACATTTCTGTACATGGACAGAAAGGGGAGGTTTCACTGATCTGGTCCATATAAGATCAAAATGGGCTGTATGTGGCCCGCGATATGAAATTAGTTTGAAATCCCTGCACTTTGAATAAAACCTTCTTGTTCCTGTTTTAAGATTTGTCAGTGAAAGTTTTAATGCACTACAATAATTCAGTGAATTGCATTAGAGGAGATTATGATTTTTTTATTTACACTTGTAGATTTGCATTAGTGTCCGCTGGCTTGAGACCTGGCAGATGGAGAGAAGGATTGCCAAAAAGTGTTACCAGAAGGCTCCCTGACAGAATGTTGGTGCCTGTGTTCTCAGATGTTTAAGCTCATAGATTATGATCTGTGCTGGTTAGCGTATCGAAACCTTTTGACTAAGGTATTAATCGAAATATTTTGACGGAAAGGCTCATACAGTCAGTTTCTTCAAAACACAAGTGTAGGAGGAAATATTCATAGGCAAGAGAAGACAAAACGCCTGTGTAATGTACTTTTACTTGTAATACTTAACTCTACTGGAAATTCAACTTTCTGGCCTCACCCGAGGAAGTGCTGACCATATGTATCTGGCAGTTTCATAGTCTCTCAGATACCCGACAAAGGTCTAAGGGCCAAAACATTGTTCTTCCAGTAAAGTTTATATGCAAGTAACAGGACAGTGAGTGGGAGTTGTTTCTCTCCTTGCAATGATTATCCAGTTATCCAGAGCATTTTAGCTAGAAGACAAAGTTGGCCATAAGTTGGTGAAAATAAAGAAATCTTCAGCAGCTAAAAAATACTGAGCCAAGGGTTAGCAGAGCCCAACATCAAGAAAACAGAAACATGACTACAAAGTAATGCCAATGTTGCCCTGTGCAGTGTTTCCTAAACTCGACTTTGAAAAGTACTTGAAGATAAACGAGACTCCTGCCATTTAAAAGTAATCCTTTATTTCATATCATTACGTGTTGCGAAAAGTAACTCATTAGAGTACAACCCCCAATACCTCAAAAGTTGGAATGGTGTGTGAAGTGTCAGTAAAAACTGAAAATAAGGATTTGAAAAATCTCATAAACACGTCATTTATTCACAATAAAACACAGAAAACACATCAAATGTTTAAGCTGAGAAAATGTGCCGTTTCAAGAAAAAAATAAGGCCATTCTGAATTTGAGGACAGCTACTACTCAAAGAAGTTGGGGCGGGTCTATGTATCTTTAACAGTCCTGGGTCTTCTTTGCATTTTTGACACATTTTTTCAGTTGGTCAGAGGTGTTTACTTTGAATCTTTTACTACAAAGGTGTGTAAGAGATGCAGCTTAGCATCTTAGCATTGTCTTGCTGAAATATGTATGACATTCCCTGAAAAAGATATTTCCTGGTTGGGGGAATATGTTGCTCTAAAACCTGTATATTCCTTTCAGCATCAATGATGCCTTTCCAGATGTGCAAGCTGCCAACTGCTTAGCCAATTGCACAGTGCGCCCTCCATACCATCAGAGATGCAGGTTTTTGAACTTAGGGCTGGTAACAAGCCAGATCCTCTTTAGTCCTGAGGCCCACTGGATGGGCATAGATGTCCATGTTTTCCAAAACCAATTTAAAATTGGGGGTTTTCTCAGCTTAAAACAGCTTCCCACTTTTAGTCCATTTCATATGATCTGTGGCCCAGAAAAGATGGCAGTGTTCCTGGGTGATGTTTACATATGGCTTCTTCTTCATATGTTAGAGCCGGAACCTGCATTTGTGGATGGCACAGTGAACTGTGTTCACAGACAAAATTGGGCCTGTTTGTAATACAGAGCCACCTGAGTACCCAAAGATCCTGACCATCTAATTTTTTTTTCGGCCCTGTGCACAGAGATTTCCACAAATTCTCTGAATCTTTTGATGATATTAAGTAAGTACGTAAGTAAGTAAAGTTTATTTATATAGCACCTTTCAGAGACATATGTCACAAAGTGCTTTACAAGGTAAAAACATAATACAGTCATAAAATACATCATAAAAACCCTGGTCTAATTAAAAGCTTTTTGAAATAAAAATGTATTTAGCTGCTTTTTGAAGGTCTGAGTCCAAACCCCGTAGAAATAGGGGAAGTGCATTCCACAGTCTGGGTGCAACAGCTTGGAAAGATCGGTCCCCTCGGGTTTTAAAACGAGTGTGGGGGACCACTAAAAGGTTTTGGTTTGATGACCTCAGGTTACGAGTGGAGGTATGTGTACGAATCAGATCAGCAATGTAGGGGGGGGGGGCTATATTACATACAATTTTATGCGGAGGAGCATTATTCTGAAATCATTCCACAATTTGCTGAAGCAGCTTTCTGCTATTGGTGAACCTCTGTGCATTTTACATGTGAGAAACTCTGCCAATTTCAGTGTCTCAGTTTAAACATGTGATATATTTTCTGTTCTGTTGTGACAAAATGAGGCTTCATGAGCTTTCCAAATCACTGCATCCTATTTAGTATTTACATTTCATATTTCACACTGCTAACACATTTAGCTTCTACATGGTATAGAGCCTAGTGTACATTCTCATTCTCATTACATAGTGAGCTGATAACAGTAGCTTTCCACCACATAACAAGCAACGGGCATGCTAATTTTCATTTAAGTTGCATTTTTAGCTAAAAGCTAGCCATTGCAGTTTTTGAGCTGAACTTTCTCAACTAGCCACATCTACAGAGATGTCCTTAGTCTGCATGTGCATCTTCAAAATGTGAAGTAGCACCTAGCAAACAGTTGATATCAAACCTGCACACAATAAAGTGTGAATACTTCCACAATGCAAAAGCTGTCCTCTCTGCCAACATGTTAGCTGACTGACTGACACAGGATTGGACCCATTCCACAAGCACACAGCTGCATGCCAAGTAGTTGGAGGGAGGCAGACACATTGCAGATGCGTCAGGGATTTTCTTTTTTTTCCCTCCCTCAACAAACAAAAGAAACATTTTAACAGTATTTGGTTGCTTATTTGCGAAACGAAGCTAAAAAAAAATCCAGCAACTTCAATTGGGGAAATTGCTTTTGCCATTAAAAAAGAAAGTATAGAAATGCCAATGCGGAGCATAGTATACATGCCAAAGCTTTGATTTCAAAGTTTTGGATTTGACAGCAAATCCAGCAAAGTGATGTGAATTAAAGCGATATTCAGTCGTACATTTTGCTCTTACACTTTTCTTTCCAACTTTGAGAAATGTGGAGAACAAACAACAAAAAGCAGGCTGCTGACGGTTTAAGTAGATGTATAAGAGGTCTTGACTAAGCCCACAGTCACAGAAGAGAGCTTGGAAAGAGTGACTCGTCACTGCAGCTGGTCTAGCCAGCCATTGATAGATTTGTAGCTGCTAAGAGTGAGCGAGTGAGTGCGTGAGGGTGGAAAAACAAAAAAGGGAAGAAAAAAAAAGAGAGAAGTGGGAGAATTACACATTGTCTCTGTGCTGTTACAGCCCTCTTCACAGCACAGTCACAGCTTCAGCTTATATGCAAACCTTCTGTTAATATGAAGGCAAGGCTCCCAGAAACACAGGACTGGGGATTTGGCTTTAATTACTCGCTTCTGCTAAAAATGCTTCAGTTATTTATAATGGTAATCCTTATTTTCCTATGCATGTGCCTGTGAGAGTGCACGCGAGTGTTTGTGCGCAGGCGTGTGTGTACCCTCCTGTGATGAGCAGCTGGTCTGCTCACTCCTGTGCTGAGGGAATCAGACATTCCTATTGATCTCCATCTCCCATGGGAGGTGTGTGTGTGTGTGTTTGTGTGTGTGTGTACACGTGTGTGTCCACCTCTGCTTCCCTTTGACTGCATACTGTAGAGCAGAATTCGATTTGTTTTTGTGCAACAGTGCCACTGCCAGGGGACAAATTGAACTGCAACGTTCATGTCTTATTCAGGCACACAGCAGGTCCTTCAGTGGATGTTAAACTCATATAATAATAAATCTCTGTTTCTCTGTGTCTGTAGTGTGGGGGGTGTTTACTCCTGAATAGGGAAGAAAATGTAAGGATCTCTGATCTTTACTTTCTCTTTCTTTCTATTTAAAGTGGTATAAAATCAGGCTGGTGGGTAACTGAGCGTTTTTGTGTTTTGCAGGTTGTAAACTTCGGCGGGGTTGCTGGGGTGAAAGGTGAAAAAGGGGACCGGGTGAGTATGAAGGATTACAACAAAGAATACTGACATTCATTTTGGGGGAGGGGGCGTAGTAAGACTAATATCAGAGGTATGAGCAATACGATCGCTTGTGCCTGGACATGTCTGCTTCGGCGCTTTGATATTGCTGTAGTCCAATACGATGTAGGCTGTTGACCAATTACCATCTAGGTGGTACGCATTGTTCGGTGCTCACTGATTCTATTCATCACCCACATCATTGTTCATTGCCATCATTGTTCTTTCTCTACCTCTCTCTATTTTCAGGGTGATGACTGTTCTGGCTCCCATTCAGGTCCAGTAAGTTACTTTTCCATTGTGTGTCACACTCACCCCACGCCACGCTTTGTGGAAAGGCATTGTTTTTTGGGTTGGTCCTTTTAGTTATTTGGCATGCAGTGCAGTGAGCCTGAAATTTTGGCCAATAGTGGTCTGTGATTATACATGCCAACCAAGTGTCTCTAACCTCAGTGCACAGAAGGACCCAAGGGGCAGAAGGGAGAGAAAGGCGAGTCGGTGAGTGCCAATACTGCCAAGGTTACAGCAGCACCTTCCACTGCCCTGCTAACCCCCTAGCTGTTTAGTTTGAGCTTTATTTGAAACCTCATTTTCCAGCATCCTTTTCCCAGTATTAATTATGCAGTGGGAATGATGGTGTGCTTTGTATGTTTATTTACTTGGTGAGTGACTCACTGAATTTGCATGAAAGTATATATGCAGGGCTTGGTTTCTCAAAGGATAGATTTGACTGGTTTAAAGAGTTAGATCAGCTTTAAATTTTATCCTCGATTGCTCTGAAGCAGGTCAGACCCATCAATCCATTTTCTACCGCTTAGTTGGCTTTGTGTCAAGGGGGCAGTACTCTAATCAGAATCGCCCAGACCTCCCTTCTCCACGGCCACTGCCTCCACCTCTCATAGAGATATAGAAAGGCATTACCAAGCCAGCTGAAAGACATAATCTCTCCATCTTGTCCCAGGTCTGCCCTGGGGTTTCCTCCTGGGTGGTCATGCCTGAAATCCAGGCGGCATCCTGGCCAGATGCCTGAACCACCTGGACCGGTTCCTTTCAATGCAGAGGAGAAGTGGCTCTATTTTGAGCAGCCCCCCAGGATGACTGAGTTCCTCACCCCTCCTCCGAGGTTGAGGCCAGGAACCCCCGTAGGAAACTAATTTCTGACATTTGTCTCTCACTCTTGACATTTGTGGGCTCACTCTTTCGGTCACTAGCCGCAATTCGTGGCCACATGTGAATGAAGAAAGTTAGAGCGTTGCACAAACATAAAGACTGACTTGACCGCCTACCTTTAGGCTAGCAAACCTTAAGACTCAGACTATCAGCAGCACCCAACAGGGCAGAAGAGAATAAAATAAAACCGGGTGTATTTCAGGTTTAAGAAACATAAACACTAGTAACCCTACTTTTACATTTATTCACACATATGTTGCCAGTGCCTTCTCTGCAAATCACATCATGAATTCACGAGATTAGGCAGGAAGTAGACTGTTTCATTCTGATCTGATGTCACATTTTCCACTGATTATCTCTCAAAAAGCACAATTTTTTTTTCTTCTTAGTTCCATCTGTGTTACTTGGTTGGGTGTGATCACTCAGTCAGGACTTTATTTTTTTATGTTGTTGTTGAGAAGTCTTAATTGATCCAATATTTATTACAACACATTCCTGCTTAAGATAGTCAAGGTCTAACGTGTTTTGTGCAGCAGATGAAGAATTTGAATTAGTTTGATCTAATCCATCCACAAAATCCATCTTTGCTTTGTGAAACCAACCCCGGGGTCTCTGTTTCTATATTAAATTTAGATTCTCAGCAATGAGTTGCGTCTGATTAATATGCAGCATGTAAAGCCATTCGGACTGCTGCTCTATAATGTGCTCCTGTTTCTCAAGTTGTTTGTTTGTGTGTGTCCAAATGGGGCATATGGCCCCTGCTGGTAGCCCTTACCGGTTGCCAACTGGTCACTGTGTTGTTTTGCTATGCTCCAGTGGTGTGTGTGGCTGTTTAGAGTTTCTTTAGAGCCAGGTCATTGATCTGGGCCTTGTCTCCATTCACTCTCTCCACAGGCGACCCCTGCCAACTGGGGCGAAGCAGCTGGGTACAAGGTGAAGAGCTTAAGAAACTTTTGGTGATGAATAATAAAGATATGACTTTTTAATGATCATCTAATTAAAGTCTAACCTCTTGCTTTTTCATTCCTCACCCCCCTCTGATTCTCCAGGGAGACAAAGGTCAGAAGGGTGAGAGGGGTCCACAGGGTCTGACAGGCACCCCAGGAAAGGATGTAGGTGTTTTTGTGTTTGTTGGTTTTACTTCTTTTTGCTTTCAAATTAGAGCGTTAGAATGAACCAAAGTACCTTTCAGGCTTGAAATTTAGAGTTTAGCTTTCAATCTACATTTCAATAGCACAAACATGAGTGCACACTCACAAACATACTAATTCATTCACGCACATCCACTTATGCAGCCACTTTTATCAAGCTGGAGCGGATATTCAGTAAACGCATACGGTATTACTATTTAAGCTCAGGCGCCCATTGATATTTATTCCCCCCTCCTCTCTCTCTCCCATTGCGTTAAGTCGGCCTGTTAATGCCTGTTAGATTAGGCTAGAGCAACAAAGCTTGCACAATCAATGCTGCCTCATTGACTGTGCTGTTCGTCTCTCACACAGGCGGGCGTCTATTCAGGAAGACTTAAACCTTTTAATCTTCCCTGTTCAGTGCAGTGATCCTGTAGACGCATGAAAAGTTTTGAGGAACAAATTACGACATGTGTGTGCTCTGAGATATTCCCCTGGTTTCAGCGTCAGGCGTGCACTCACACTCACGTTCACCGGGCTAAGTGCTTGTTGTGGCCAGATGGATTTGGTGGAGGATAGATTTTCTTAAGTCTCCCATCCATCTGACATTGTGAATATGAATGTGCTGTTGATGTGACTTGAATCAGACAAGGAGAAAATATTACGTATGCACCACTGAAGACGATACATCTTACAGTCTCTACATTTCTCCCGTTTTTTTCTTATTTCTCAGACGAGGAACATCAGACAAATGGAGGAAAACAAGTGTCTTTAACAATTTATGAAGATATTTTGCAGATAAATTTCAACACAGTTTGTTTGATTATTTGGAGTTGGCACTGATGATGGCAATTCTCTTTTTTGTCTGTCACCTTTTCCCAGGGTCGAGCGGGATCGGTCTGTGTGGTCGGCCCCAAGGGACAGAAGGTCTGTCTGCATCACGTCTACAATTAACCTGTCACATTCTTGCAGTCCAGTTTGCATTTAATAGATATGTTTTGAAATTGTTTCCCAGGGTGTCCCTGGTATGGTAGGTCCGGAAGGATTGGCAGGAGAGCCAGGAAGGCCGGGACTACCAGGGGTCGGAAAACCAGGTCCTCCAGTGAGTACGCTTTTTAATTAAAGAACTGGTCACAGAAAGCAGAAGAATGATATACACAATTACTGGACAATGTCCTTGCACTGATTATCTTAATGTCCTTATCCTCATTTTTGAAATGGCTTCTATTTGACCAAAGTGTGTGTTTCTTTGTGGGGGGGGTTAGCCACAGCTCTCAGAAATACATGGCAGGATGTGGCAGAATGCTTTCTTTTGATCAGATTGCTCCTGATTAAAGTCTAAAAGCATCTTAGGATGGCATTTTAAAAGATTCATTTCCTTTTTTTCCTTCCCAGGGCCCTCCTGGTGAACCCAGCGGTGCAAAAGGAGAAAAGGTAAACTTACATTTTGACTTATGATTGTTATAATAATGCTCTTAGGCATATTATAATAAAGATGTCCTTTTTGCTTTAATATATGAAGCATTCAAGGCCGTGGCACTCGAGTGCCTTTGTATCTCGGAAGGTACCACTGCAGCTACTATTACCATTAGCATTAGCATTCACTAACTTAAAAAAGATATGTGCATATATTTGTTAAGAAGATACTTGTTAAGAAGGGAGGACGATTGTTAGTAAGGAGTTTGAAAAGCTGAGAGTAACTTAAAGCTGTTGAAAAAACTAAAGAAACAAGTACTAGTTAGCTAACTAAATAGTTCAAATAGTTAGCTAAAAGTAAGGTATAAATGTTTAACTAAAAAGAATAAATATCAAAAATGTGTGACATATCTACCTAATTAATAAAGGAACAGTTGAAACTATTAGCCAAAGTTAATATACAGATAGTTGAAATGGCGACTTTTTAAGCATGGTTGAAACCATGATACCTGACTAAGTATCATGGCGTTAAATAGGCTAGTTAGCAGAAAAGTAATTGAAAATGCAATGTTTTTTGCAACGTAATAATGTAAATGCAGTGGTTTTGAGGATACTCAAGGTCCTGTCCCAGTGTAAATGCTTTATGCAAATACTGCTTGCAAGTTGTTAGTTGATTGTTTGCACATCAAGAACCAGCAAAGGCAAAAAGAAATGTCTTATTACTAAAAAAAAAAGCTTTCTGTAAAACAGCTGTTGTATTTACAGGGCGATAAAGGAACTTCTGGAGAAGATGGATTCCCTGGAGAACCAGTGAGAGACTTTTTTAAACATCGATTAGTATTCTGTAATGTATGGATGGGCTTCCAGGTTATGGACATGATTTGAACTTTGATCCGATATGTCAGTGTTTGAATGAGATTGTGCTGTTTTCAAAGGGTCCAAGAGGACCACCTGGATATAAAGGAGAGAAGGTATATCTTGTAAACGCTATATTTAATCTCTATATGCATTTTGTCTGAGTCCTCTCTCATCATCACATTGTACATCTAACTTGCGTTAAATCTTCAGGGTGACCCATGCGAAGTGTGTCCAGTGCTGCCTGCAGACATAGGCAACAAAGTGGCTTTGCAAGGGAAACCTGGCCCTAAAGGAGAGCCCGGATTACCAGGGATAGGAGAGAGAGGACCGTCTGTAAGTAGCGCGCTTGACCGGAATGTCATCTGCGCCTGACCGGAATGTTAAGTTTGCCATTTTTTTACGATCTTGCTACATTTCTTTATTATGGAGTTGTAGACACGGTCAGAGTTGTAGCTGACAATTGAACCTTGAGCACACTTTTTTTTTTTTTTTTGATAACGCATATTTTTTATTTTTCTTATCATTCAGAGGGAAAGTGTGGCATTTATGTCTACCTTGGGCTTTTATTTGCCCTTGTAATTCTCACAGTATTGCAGCAGCTCAAGGGGAGAAGGCGTGATATGCTGTCAAAAGTTTATCCTCCAAGGCAAAGGGCTTTTTCTTAATGTAATCTTAACTCGTCTCTCTGTCTCTCTAGTGAGTCAGGACTCGGCACCCTGTGCATTGTGTTTCTCTTTCTGTTCATTCCGCATCTTCCCACTTACCCCAGCAGGTGAAATAGAGAATGATTTGTGGTGGGGGAAAAAAGAATATAAATCTCAAGCCTTATGAGATTCACTGTGCAACGATTTCCAATAGTGCCAGTATCCATCTGTCATACCTGGTTAGGGCAGAAGGAGAACGAGGTAGAGCAGCAGAGAGGAAGAGGGGAGATATGACCTTACTCTCACAAAGTTGAACTAACATTCTTGCTTCTAGATAATTCCTGTTCTTCCCACCTCTTCCCTTTTCTCTGTATTTAACAGGGTCTTCGAGGTGCAGATGGCAAGGAAGGACGGAAGGTATTGAGCCCCCCCCCCATTCATTTACAGCTTATGGTTCATTCATATTCTGTGGAAGCGTGGCCTATTCATCTGCATTCCTACACATTCAGATATGCTAACATCAGCACTGTAGACGACTCCCTCCTAAAGCAGAAGCAAGCCAACCAGCAGTACAGACGAAAGTCAGCGCGCACACACTTTCAACACTCCTTCACATGGCTATCTAAGTGGGTCGATTCCCAATGCATGTATGTGCAGGACTGACATACTCCCATATCTGCCTAATTGTTATAGCCAGAATGCTTCCAATGCCATGCTGAGACAGGACATGACAAAGCAAGCCTGCTTGTCAGGATGCGCTCGGTCTAATATGCCTTCTTGACTGTTGTCTTTTTGTATGTTTTGGCAGGGAGAACCAGGATCTGATGGTACCAAAGGTGAAAAGGTCAGCTCTGTGTCTTTTTTATGTTTGAGGCTAAACAGTTACCTGTTTCCACAAGTCTTGCAGCACCAGAATGTTTCTAACCTTATTAATGTGATTTCTTTTTTTCCATGACTGGCAACTTGTTTGACCGGGTCAAAGAACCAAATGAGTCTGTTCTGATTATTCGTTCAAGGCAGTCTGTGACCCACTCTGAACTTCCCTGCTCCGTCTGTGTGTTTTAGGGAGAGTCGTGTTCTGCGTGCCCCACTCTCGGAGAGTTTTCTAACTCTGTCCCCGGTGTCATGACCCAAACCCAACAGCAAAAAGGCGAGAAGGGAGAAGCTGGAATTGGGCAGAAAGGAGAGAGGGTAAGCCTATTTACGAGGGATTAATGTGATTCTGGTGATCAATAAGAAGCAAATTGCACACAAAGTTAAAAACAACAACCAAAAAAAGACTTTGGACCTACTAAGGGGAAGCAGTGATATTTAAACTGAGTGGATAATTGGGTTGTTTGACTATACTCCTATTGGTGATTTTGTCACTATATTTGCTCGCATGTGTGTGCATTGATAAGTACCTTAATTAAAATGATATATTGTCCACTTTTTCTCCTACACAGGGGCAGCCGGGAGATGTAGGGCCGGCTGGTCTTAGAGGAGAGCAGGTAAGTCGCACAAAAAGAAACATGAACAGAGTAGGTGACCTCAATAGCAGACAAGGCTTACATAAGGGGAACTCACTCAGTAGGTTTCTGAGTGAAGCTCTTAATAGACTTCATGAGGAAGATAATCACAGCAGTGCACTAATTTTAGTGCCCCAGACTGTTTGCCATTGGGATTTTCCTCAGTGGGAAACTTATTAGTGAAGAGCTTAGGTAGTCAAAAGCCAATTTTTTATTTCTTATTTATTTTTTATTTTTTTAGATGGCTGCCTGTAGGGTCTGTACTATCAAATGTGAATTACCAATTGAAAAGACCCATCCATTTTTATTAATTCTTAAAATTTAGATTGTGATTTTTTTTTCTTCCACTCCACTGCAGGGTAGTCCAGGCAGCAGAGGAGCTGATGGAAAGACCGTAAGTTCAGATTCAGTACTTTTTAAACATCATTTTTTGGATGACATACCGATTTACTGAAGTCATAAAATGTGCCCACGAGACAGGGAAAACCTGGATCAAGGGGACCAAGTGGCAAGGATGGACAGAAAGGTGAAAAGGTAGGAAAATATGTCAAAAGGTTTTGGATCCCTTTTGATGGCCAAGATTTAAAAACCAGACTTATCTTTTTATTCAATATAATCCAAAGTGAGTGACTGAGCCCATTAACCCATCAGGAAAGTGTTTACAGAGGTTAATACAGAAAGTATAGACTCTTCTGCATTGGCTTAATCTTTCCACCTCAGAAGATTAGAAGATTAATGTTTTCTCCTGTCTATGTGTACCACTTTGGTGCTTTTCCTAGCTCTCTTAAGTAACACCTTGGTACTCTTTTTAGTTTGTTGAATTAACACGTTTGCACCCTTTCTATCTCATCACATTAACACGTTTGTACTTTCTCAAGCTCACCAAAGTAACACCCTGGTACTCTTTTTGGCCCACTAACACAACATTACCACACTTTTCATCTTGCTAAATTAAAACCCCAGTACCCCTGCTAGCATGCTAAAATAGCACATGAAATTGACATGAAAACTGTAGCTCTAGTGGTGATAATAACTGCAAAGAATATGAAAATATATACTAAATATAAATATGTACTTCCCACAATCTAATGAGCGAGAACTGTGCCCTAACCTGTGAATGTTTAGCATGAGTTAAATGTAATACATCACAGCTGCAGAAATTAGCGATTTAGATTAAAAGTAGCATTAGCATATAAACTCCCAATGTTTCCTGGCACAAGTTAAGAGTATGGAATCTTCATTCTCTATGTTCACCATCCAAGTTTTTTAATGTCAGCATGCATGCTATTAAAAGAAGAACAACACTATATTCCATGTCTCCTACTGAGACAAAAAACCTTTCAAGTCTACCTTCCAAGCTTTATATCTCATAAAAAATATCTCAAGTTCTACTTTAACAAGTGGTATTGTTTTCAGCTAGAGGTTCTTCACTCCGAAATCCTCTCCATTTCTTACTACTGAGTGTTTTATATGTTATGTTATTCCAAGGTTTTTTAATTTTACGTTTATACATTCTAAGGGAGAACAAGGGCAGCCTGGTGTTAGTTCTCCGGGCCAAAAGGGTGAGAAGGTAAGTGCGGATGTATTTGTTGGTTTTGTATCCTTTAATATTTTTATTATGCAAACTCATCTTGTTGACTCCCTTGCTTTACCTAGGGCGAGTGCGGTGTGTGTGAATCATCAGAGGTTGGCCGGATACCTGCTAATATCAAAATGCCAGTGGGAGCAAAAGGCAGTCAAGGTGAACCAGGTCCTCAGGGGCCACCAGGACCTCCAGGTCTTGGGGCTGAAGGCAAACAGGTGCGTATCCATCACACTGATTCGAAGCATCTTTTTGGAATCCAAAAACAGCTTCACCTTAGATTATTCTAATATGTTCATGTATTGTTGTCTTCTTTTCAGTTAGGAAAAAATTACAGAAATGGTGCAGCGTATTTTACTGTATTGCTGCTAAAATAACTGTATCTCAAAGAAACATGTAGATGGAAGTGCTAATGACAGGGTAGCACCTTTTAAGACCTTCTTGGCTTTGCTTGTAGAGAGCACTACGGTATGAAAGAAGGAATAAAATATTTATTTATATAGTGCCAAATCACAACAGCAGTTGCTTCAGGGTGCTTTATATTTTTAAGGTAAAGCCCCGACAGAGAAAACCCCAACAATCAGATGACCCCCTTATGAGCAAGAACTTGGCGACAGTGGGACAGAAAAACTCCCTTTTAACAGAACGAAACCTCTATAAATCCTTAAAAAGAAACAATGCCACTTGGCTAAATTAGCATGTAACAGTGACATAGCTTGCAACCAAACCCAAGAACAAACAAAAATGGAAACAGCACTGCACACACCATTACTTCCATAAGTGATCTTCATCAGAATTAGTAACTCAAATCGCATTATGCAAATTCCACAAAACCAATGCAGCTTCTTTCCGATCCTTGCAGAGTAAAAAGGATTAAGCATTATCCTGATGAGTGAGACTTTTAAGGTACTGAAAGATTGTGCCTCAAGGGTGCGTCAACCCATAATACTTATTGTACAAATCGGCTATACAGCAAATCTCCTCTTACCACAGAAGTGCTACTAAGTATAATAAATCTCTTTTGGCTTGTGTCATCCCCCCAATTACATGCTGTTTGCTTCTGTGGTTAGCTCTGTGTCAACAGTTTTTATTTTATCTGAATGGATAGAGGCTCCCACAGTATTTGCAGATGACTGCACATGTGTTTTGAAAGTGCACGTGCATGTTTGTGTTTCTACCTGTGTGCATGCATTTTTTTTTACATTTTTACATCCTCTTTTTTTTTTTTTACTTTACAGGGCCCATCAGGGCTGCCTGGTGCCAAAGGAGAAAAGGTAAATTACTCAGTAATGTCTCCTATGGTTTGACCTAGTAAGTTAAGAAATTAAACCCCACATATGAAATCTACAACCATTCTGTGACATTTACCCAGTGCCCACATAACCAAAGCAGTATGCTGACAAAATGAGACTATTTGGAGTTTTTGGTGGCCTTTAGAGGCAGCCAGGCGTTCTCACATAAGCACAGGCCGAGGATGTCTGGAGGAATCCCACGCCGCGTATTAAATATTGTGCTTATTTTAGATCACAGAATCCATGTGGTGGAACATTCGCATCACTTTACCTATAAAACCGAGAAATAAATCTCCCAATAACAGAGCCAAGCTGCCTTAAATTACCTTGAAAGTCATCCACAGGAATCACTCTGCTTCAACTTCAAAGTGAAGGAAGATAGTTACTGGAATACTGAGATTGATTTTTTTTTTCCACATAAACACAGATCAGACAAAAATACTGGCCTGGTTGATGTTGGGGAGGGAATTCTTAGCTACCCTGTGGAGCTGCCTTGTAAATACTCAAAGGTTTCCAATTAGTGTAAAACTGCATTGTGGGTATTGGTGGCATCCACCATACGTGTACATTTTCTTTCTCATAAGATCGCAAAACCTTTTTAATTAATATCATGCATTATTCACGTCTGTGTTTGCTCACTAGAAATCTTCTTCTCCACTACCTTTGATGATACAATTCATGCTGCAGCCAGCTGTCAATAAGTATCATAGCATGAAACCATCAGAAAGGTTGCATCACTCACAGTCTTTTAGTTGTTCTTGGTGGAAAAAAAAAAAGAAGCCTGCCTAGAATTCATTTTGAGCATTGTGCACACTAAATACAGGTCACTGCCTCTCCTTTTAACAATGAATTTCAATTTAACCAGGGTGAGCAAGGAGATCGAGGAGAGAATGGATTAGATGGAGCTACTGGAGCCCCAGGAATGCCTGGAGACCATGGTCGGGATGGCCAACGGGGCTTGAAGGGAGAAAAGGTAGTTTAGCATTCCTGGACCTTTACCTTCCATCGTCTGATGCCAGTGCCAGTATAAAATGTGTCAGTCGTGTCTCTGTACCTTAGAGATCTAATTTGTTTTTTTTAAATGGACTTAGATTTGTCTCTCCATCCATTGAGAGCATCTATTACATATTAGGAAATAGGAGTTAGAATTGATGCTGATTAGCTAAATGGAGACACAGAAGTTGGAATGAAGTTTGATTCGTCCTGAGCTACTTGGATTGTGATTTTGGATTTGCTGATTTGCTTTTATTTTATTTGTTTATTTGTTTATTTTTTACAGGGGGACGCGTGTACCAGCTGCCCTTCTGCTGGTGCTGTCGTGGGTGACGGTGTAGCTGTGCCAGGCCCCAAAGGAGAGAAAGGAGACCCCGGCCCCCCAGGAGAAGGAAAGTCTGGCAAAAATGTAAAGGCACTTGTTTATAAGTGGATATACTTTAAGTTCTGTGCTGTGAGAATTGCACACGATGAGTTTGGTTTTTTTTGGGGTTTTTTGTCATTTCAGGGAAAGCCAGGTTTGCCTGGTGTGCAGGGCCCCGTCGGTCCCAAAGGAATCAAGGTGTGAATTCCCATTTATTATATTATCATGTTTATAAATAAATATGGATGACTGATTCACTGTCAATGTATTTTGTCGTCTATAGGGAGAAGTCGGAGTCCCAGGAATTGGCCTTCCAGGACCACAAGTAAGGCTGACGTCTCCTGAGGGAAAAAAAAAAGAAACCATCTGGATCAAGTTTGATGTTGACATTTGAAACAGCTGTTAGACACAACACTCACGCAGCTCCTAGGTGGATGCTGTTTTAATCTCACTGCACCAAATTCCCCCATGACATCAGCGATTAGAGTTTTACGGTCTCGCAGATCTGACAGTGGAGTTGTAAATAACCACCATAAAGTAATTTGGGAGTTTCTTCTCTCTGAAATCCTTTGACCTCTCGTGGAATAACAGCTCATTGATTTGTCAGTCTTTGTCCATGTCTTTGCTCTTTTCTCCCCAGACTTCGTTAACCTTCAGATTCTTTTTTTTTGTTGTTGTTGTTGTTTGTGTTTCCATCATAGGGTGAAGAGGGACCAAGAGGACTCCCAGGACTTGTAGTAGGCTTCTCCTATTTTTAAAGTGCTTTGTTATTTCTTTACACTGCATATGTAGACTTTAGTCTAATCTCTGCTTTTTGTACAGGGACTTGCTGGTGCCAGAGGATCACCTGGGCCTGCTGGCCCTGCAGGGGAGAAGGTAGCAGAAAAAACAAGTGACTTAAACTCTAAATTGCCTTTGTACAGTTACATGAACCCTCTTTAAACTTATGTGTTGGGTTTTTACTGTTCGCAGGGCTTCAAAGGTGACTCTGGGCTTCCTGGACCACCTGGTCCCCTGGGCGTTGGAGTAACAGGCCCCCCGGTATGACGTAAATATGTCTTTCTGCCTCTCCATATGATGTAATGCTTATATGTTTTCAAACACCCTCTCCTATTTCCTTTTTTGACCCACAGGGTAGAGATGGAGCCCGCGGCTCCACGGGACTGCCGGGAGCTGATGGAAGACCTGTGAGTTGTTCATTTAAAGTCTGTTTCAACACATGTTTTTCACATGTTTTTGTTACTTATGAATCTGCAATTCAGAGAGTTGTCAGAGAAATTCAAGTGGCAAACTCGAGTTGTCGCCCGTGCGTTAGCGTCTTTTCAGACTTTTAATTTTCTTTGAGCTTCTTTGGGAATTGTCCTTGATTTAGGCATCATTTGTAACCAAGGATGTCTGCCTCGATCCATAACAGAGGCGATGTCTGCTCCCATCTCATCCTCCGTCCCCTGATCTGCTCTCAGCTCACTGCCCCGTGAGCTTTCTTCTGAAACAACAAAGCAAGAGTAACTAAGTGTTTGTCTTTGTGTGTGCGTGTGTGTGTGTGTCTGTTCGTGTGTGTCTGTGTGTGTGTGTCTGTCTCCTACTCTTGCAGGGGCTTGATGGAGCTAAAGGGGACAAGGTAAGTCTACCGTTTTGTTTGGATGAAGGAAACTGGAGGGGTTTTAATATAAAGAGGGTGGAACAGATGGTAATCACAAGAGATGGCTCAACACCCCACTACCACACCAGCCTTGCCCAATCCCTTGTCTCACACACACACACACGCATACACACACACACACACATGTACGTGCACGCACCGGCCTCAGGGCACATATAGAGTAGCAGTGGAGGTGACAAGTGTACTGTTGCTGGCAGACAAGAGGAGTTTTGGGGGCCTTAAGAGAGAGCGTGTGCGAGACTATTAATTACTGAATTCATCAGAGCCACTGGTCCAGACTGTCACCGAGCGGGTGGGAGAGATGAAGACGTGGCAGAGGCAGAGTTTAAGGGTCGGGAGGGGTATAAGATGTGGGGGCAGAGTTGTTTGTGAGGGCTGAGGTGAAAAGAAGAATAAAGTTAAGAAAGAATAAGAAGTTGGAAAAAAAAATCCGAAAACAGAAAAAATGTGCAAGTGGTAACTTAGCCTTTATTCTGTGGATTTATTAAGACTCTGTGGCTCATGCATACTCTGAAAAAAATGATTTTGGTTGGAATATAGTGAGAACAGATGCATATGAAGAGATATTATGTGGTTTCCTCTTATGTTAGCTGTATTTGTGTAATTGTACAATTGCATGTTCATTGTATATATGCAAAAGTTAAAGCTTTTTGGGCAGTTTTGTGTATTGCTGCACTTCATATTCCTGACACAGTATGAATAAAAAAAAAAAAACAGCAACTTTAAATCCCTGCCAGTTACAAGTGTCTTTGTAACACATCAAGATTTAACAAAACGGAACAAAAGTGCCACGAAAGCTGAAAGAGTTCTGGCTTTCTTCCTGTAACAAGAGCAGTTTTAATCTTGAATGAGGGCTCATTTTGCAGCCTGTGCTTAAAATCGTGCCCAGTTTCACTTTACTGTTTGATTCTTTTTTTAAAGATCTGCTTTTTCGGGTCTTTTTTATGTATATTTCAGGGTGAACCTGGAGAGTGCGGCTGCCTAATGCCGCACACGGGCGTAGGCGGACCTGTAAGTACACCCATGCTGGAATCGCTACATGTGGACAGGCAAATTCATCTAAAGTAGAGAGAGCATTGCTGCTCAGTGTATGTTTTAAGAGCACAGGTCGGATGATTTGGTGCGAGTCCAAAGGTAACATGTTGAGAAAAAAGAAACTGCTGAGTTTTTTTTTTATTTCTTTTTCTCTCTTTTTTTTTGCTCTTCCACAGTTTTCTGTAGTTTGACATTTGTTGTGTAATTCTTAACATCACACTGTGTGCTTTCTGTATATCCTGCGAGCAAAGGTGCATCTCTGATTTTGACTATTCTTGCCTTGCAGGGAGCTCCAGGAACTCCAATAAACACGTGGCAGCCCGGGCCTCAGGTCTGATCTGTCAGCCGAGCCGTCCTGTATGACAGCTTAGGCTTTGTGTGAACGCTGTGTGTCTGTTGTTACCTTGCAAACTTTGTTTGGAAAATCGCAGCGCTCGTCTCCTTTTTTGGGGGGTTTCACTGTCAGACTATAATGTAATAATTTGTGGTCCTCTCTTCATATGTTGCAGGGTCCCCCAGGACCTCCTGGCCCACCTGGACCCCCTGGGCCTCAGGGAGTTATTGGAAGCCAAGGACCTCAGGTATAAGCGAGAGTGCAAGTAGGATGGTCAGGGGGGAGGGGTTATGTCTTTGCTTCAATTCAGAAGCTGCTTCATTATGCTGAATTGAAAAAAAGAAGCTACTTATGTAGGCTTTGAGCTTGGGCAATTTGGGTTCATAAATAAGGCTTTAACGTGCTTTGCATTTTCATGGGTGAATTAAATCCATATTATGCATGTAGGAAATGAACTGTCATTATATAAAGTATGTGTGCAGTAGCTTGGACACAAGCAGGTTAAGGATCAAATCAAGTTTAAACTTCAAAAACGCACTAACCCATCTGGTGCTTCGAGCTTTAACCCATGTGGGAAGCAACTGAGCAAGCTTTCTGAATGTCAGTCAAGACATGAACAGTTATTTGAAGGTCTGGCTTTAAATACACCAAAGATGCAAAGCTTACTCAAAGTATGAATTTGGCTCATTTGAGAAGTTTTTTCTTTTTTTTTCATTTAAACAGACCTTCAAATAAAGTGATGCTCTGGTCTGTGCTGCAAGAGTCAAAGGCGTAAGAAACTTTAGAAGTGACTGGGTTGGAGATATCATGTCTTTGAAAAGAGTGCATTTGTTTTTTGTTTTTTTAAATTCAGTAGTGTTCCGAGATTTTTTTTTTCCAAGTTTCATAAGACATGGCCGGAGAGGGAAGAGGTTTCGTCATTTTGGCACTGCCCCTTTGACTCTGCCTTTACCATTGGTGCCGATGGGAGTGGCTAGCCCTCGATTGGCAACAAACTAGTTCAACCTCAGTTCCTTCTTTCAGGGTATCCCTGGAAACGACGGGCTACCGGGGAAACCGGGTTTGCCTGGAAACATCGTAAGTAATAATAGAGAAAAAGGAGGAGAGGCGGCTCTTATCTGCTGATTTGAGATCTGGGGCCTTGTGTATAAATGATGCAAAAGCACGAAATAAATACATATGGAAGGAAGTGGAATTATATATAAGATATTCCCAAGAAGGGAAGACTCATGAGTTTATTTTCTAAACATTTAGTTTTTCACAAACTTTATTACATCATGATTAAAGTGGTTTATATACTCTGCCCCAAAATGTGCTGTGTTTACTTTTGTTAAATTCTGTATTTGAAGCACAAATCCTGCTTTTCTGCTTTTAATTTGAAACCGCTGATGCGAGAGGAAGGAAGTTTGTTTTTTTGTTGGACAAAATTAAAAGGTGGTATGTAGGTATCTGGCTCGTACAGTACAAAGTGGAGAAAATAATTATTTGAGCACTTGCTGAATTCACAAGTAAATGGACTGATGCTTATATAGCGCTTTTCTACTCTCTCAGAGTTATCGAGGCGCTCTATACAACATGCCACATTCACCCATTCTCACAAGCACTTTATCTATACTTAGTGTTATCTAACTACATTCACACTCTGATGGAGAGCAACTTGGGGTTAGTATCTTGCCCAAGGATACTTGACATGCAAACTGGAGGAGCCAAGGATTGAACCATCAACCTTCCGATCAGTAGGTGACCTGCTCTACCTCCTGAGCTACAGCCACCCCTAAAGAAGTTGCTCACTTACAAAGAAATTATAATTTTGTAATTTTTTGCTAGTTTCATTTTACTGGAGAGACGGAATATAAACGGAAAATCCATAAAAACACATTAAATAAAAGTTATACATTGATTTGCATGTCACTGAATGAAATAAATATTCGATCCCCAAGGAAGACCAAAGACATTTCTTGTAGTTGGTCACCAGGTGTTTTTTGGTCCACTCCTCTTTATGGAGACCCTCAAAATCCTTAAAGTTTCTTGGCTGCTGTTTGGTAACTTGAAGCTTCAGCTCCCTCCACAGAATTTCTCTAGCACTGAGGTCTGGAGACTGTCTAGGCTTCCATGACCTTAACCTGCTTCTTCTTTAGCCACTTCTTTGTTGCTTCTGTGGTTTGTTTCGGGTCATTGTGATGGTAGAAGACCCATCTTCAGTGTTCTGCCTGAGGGAAGACTTGTGCTTGTGCTGCAAGATTTCAGTCCATTACAGCAAAGTGTGTTACTAAACGGTGTTCTTGGTCACTGTGGTCCCATCTGGATTCAGATTACTAATATGCTCCTCCCGTGTAGTTTTGGAATGATCCACCACCTTTCTCATGACCATCCACACCCCAAGGAGCTCTAGACCCAGGGCTATTGACAGTTATTTT